CCAGTAAGTCACTTCCCTGGAGGTGGACAGACTATGTTTCAGCAAAAGAGGAAATCCCCCAGTAAACGGGTTGGCAGGCAGTGCCTTTATACAAATATTATCCTGTAAATGGAAAGCAGTGGTCATCCATTCTAAGCTTGTAGAAGTTGGTGGTTATACCAAATGTCTACTACTGTGAGCACTGCACTGAGACGAATATAAATAAGACAACAAGTGCCGGAATAATAATTTTTGCTGTAATCAAGCTGATATGAAGATTAATGGAATGCATACTAGGTATATATAAATGTTTTTGAGTATATTATGTTCTTAGTGAAAAATAATGCTCTTTACAGGATTCTCTTGATGATCGAGTCAACAAAATGAATTCTACCTTTAACACACTATGACCCTCCTTCTATCTAATAGAAACATTTTCCAAATCACAGGAGAGCATAATCCTACAAAGCCATGGAATACATTACAGTAAACAAAAGGGAGAGCCTTGCTCACTATCTGTTTTGGTGGTTAAACTATTTTCAAGGGCACATTAGCATCTTTTTTTTTGATAAGCAAGGCCCTCTTCTCATCATTAAAAACACAGTGTCTTTTTACTGTTATTTACCAGCTCGCAGTATTGTTTCCACTCAGTCACTGGAGCTTGCTGTGACCTCTTGTATTGAGCCCTTCACAACCACTTCCCTCTATATTCTAATAGCATCTCAACTAAATGAAATGTACATGGCTTCCCAGCTTTTTTGCACTAGCTGAAGAGTGGGTGTCATTATTAGGTATCTGTCCCCTCCTCCCCCTGCATGCAACATTGATTTACCATTTAGTTTTTCTAGGTAAAACAGAGTTCATTACATAATGTAGGCTATACAGAGTATGCATAATGAAATTTTCAGTGAAATACTTCCCCTAAACCTGCACTACTGTGCTTGCAAATAAGTAGCAAGTCAACAATTTATTAAGAATCAATGCTAAGCTGTCAGACAGCTCAAGCTCATGCTTTCAGCTTTTCTAAGTTTCCGGTTAAGAACAGTACACAGCAAATGTGTCACACCAACTGTTTTTTATGTTTTATTTACACCTTTGTAAAGCTTTTTGTGAAAGGATGTGACCTTGTCTTCATTCACTAATTGAGGATGTTTTAATTATTTAATTAATGAATAAATAGCATTCTTAGTTACTTTGTTTAAAGGATATGTTTAGTTATTAATTTAGCTATTTAATATTAAAACAAAACTGAAGGGTAGTGGGTACATAAATATCTTTCAGTTCTAATAATTATTTGTATTACTCAAATAGAACAGTACTCTCAAATAATACATTGTAGAGTGAGTGTTATGTGATTTATTATAGGTCAAGAAGACTTCAGACTCTTGGGAATTTTCAGGTCTATATGGTATATAAAATAAAGTTTAATATCATGTTGGAATTTATTTAGTTTATGACACAACAGTTTTTGAACTGATAGCCTATATCCATTAGACCCTCAGCAGCACAAGGGACAAGGTGAGGCTACACCCGGATGTAATATCAGTCCTTTACAGGGCTAACACAGACAAGCACAATGTCCTTGGAACAAAACCCACATGCATATGAGAAAAACATGCAAACTCTACACAGAAAGCACTCCAGTCTGGAACCTAACCTGGGATGTAAGTCTTAACTGGGACGTAGCAGCACTAACTGTCAAGCCTCTGGTATTGTTAATCAAAAATAAATCTGTATTGTCTTGTTTTGGTTCTGGTTCAAAAATTATTACTAGATTAGGTATAATAGCATATTCAAGCCACTGCCAATGTAATGCAATGTGACTTTTACTTTCAGAGATAATAACAGGCAAACACTGCCATTTGAATGGGCTAGCAGCTTCTTGAATGCCTTTATTATTAACTTTGAATGCCTTATCCATGAAGCAGAACTACAGTGACAGTAGAAATGCCTAGACTCATACAATTCAGTATAATTAAGTTGTGCACATTTTTTGAGCAACACCTATGAATATGTTTTATTGTCATTTAATTTACAGAAGTAAAAATAATTTCAGCAAATATTTATGATTGTAAAATACTTGCAACTGTTTACTTGTCAGTTTAATATGCATTAAGCTTTTTTTTCTAGATTGGTATTTGGGCACAGATTTTCCATTTATACTGTATGAGGTCTTGCCCATGGTTTGTAAGTATGTACTTTTATAAAATTATTTGAAGAATATATTTAGCTATAGTGCATAGTAGTGTATGTACACGTGCTTTCTTACATGTACAGTATTTGTTTTTATACTAAACAGATGGAGTGTGTTCTTTTAACAAGAAACAGCAGACTTTTTTGTTTACTTGTTTGTGGAAGGAATTGGATAGCTTTTAAGATTCTGTCCGATTACAAAATGCTTATCACTGGCAGTCTGTATTTGCAACTTGTGCTAATTTTTGTATTTTGTATTTTTTAATAACATCCTTATTTTTGTATTGAGGTGTAGTATGTAAGCTCTCCAACTAGCTTTAAAGTGTTTAGAGCATATAGGTTACTAGCAGTGTGCTCTCAAGTGGAGAAAAAAAGCTATTGGCAGAATTGAAATGTATTTAAAGGTGCAAAGGTAGAAAGTAGGGGTACTTGTATTAATTTATTGAAAACAGTGTAGCCATTTGTAAATCTGGCAATGAAACATTTAATTATTGACCTATTCCAATCCTGTTTGAATGTGTGAGAAGCAATTTCCTTTGTTGTGCTACAGTTAGTAAAGGTTTTAATTTTAAAAATCATAATGTAGTATTTACGTATAATTATGGAGTCTAAGTGGTTCACGTAATTGTGTGCCATTATAAAGTATAATAACAGCATTAGAAATACTGTAACTGTTGTTGCATTTTGCTTGAACTTGAGTAGCCAGCACATAGTATCAATTAATTAGTTCATACTGATTGTCTGAATTGATCTTTTAAGAGCTGATGTATACACAAGTTAAAATTTTGTGATATTTTATTGAGATACTGTACATTGTGAGATGTCATAAGACACAATAATATATTATTATGACAAGTTCAGCATGTGAACAGTGACAGCACAAAATGCAGAACAATTTATTCAAAAACAAATACTTTATAAATGTAAATGTGTACACTGTTATCATTTTCATTTTGGTTTGTTGCATTTCATTTCTTGTAAACAGCTTTCTTACTGGAAAGAAATGCCTCTAGAACTTTCATTTTTCAGTGAAAGAAGTGAACCTGTTGTAAAACTCATTCATTTTGTGGAGAGGAAATCGAATGTGGGGCCATATTGTCAGAGCTACTTTATTGTCATCATTTACAAAGGTCATCTGAATTAATTGACTCCTTACCATATGAATTGTTAAACTCCTGGCTTTCTGACAGATTTACAATAATGCAAAAGACTTGCACTCTGTGTGAAACCTTTTCATTTTACTTTATGTGATGAAAATGCAAAAGCATTTTTCTGAAAAGCAGATCGACACAGATCCACTCTATAGTTAAATGAAACAGGGGCTATTATTTTCACAAAACTTCTGTCAGCACACATGGGGAACTTGAATGGAATGCTAATTGTGGAACGTAACACTGCTTAAAAGAAGAAAGGAAGACAATATATCAAGATCATTTTAAAATAAGGCTAAAAACAATTTTCAAACAAAGCGAATTTTTGGGCATTTTAAACGCCTACTACAACTTTTATGGTTTTTAGACTAGGCTAGATAGATGGTTGTATTTAGCTTGGATTATACGGTGCAGTATTCATCTGTCTGAAATATGATCGCTAATCAACATGATAAGATAAAGCCACAGAGAGTTCAGCATCCATACTTGATTTGAAAGTTTATTTACTGTAAAGTGAAAGAGATCATATCAGAGATCTGCCTTTACTACTATAAATTAATGTTGCTTATTTGAGATGAGTAAATAAGGCAATGCTGTACCTACTGTGCTTTTTTAACACAACAGATCAATATATATTAATTTATATATAGATATATTTCAAAATTTCTTATCAATTGCTTTAGCAAAGATATATTCTCAAACTATGTATTCTAAAAGAAACGTATTTGTAAGAAGAGTGTGCAGGCAGGAATTACTGCACCTCTTATCTAACACAGCAGGGTATAGAAGGAACTGCGTTTTCATTAAATGAATAAGTGATTGTGGTGAATGAAGACTAAACATAAAAGACGTCTTGCAGTGACAGTGTTAATTATGACAGATCTTTGGACACATCACGCAGATTTTATTTAAGTAACTGGCTCAGATTTAGTGTGCAGTACAGTTGTGTGTTAAAAGCCTTGTGAAATGATACATGATTTTATAAGGACGATGATGCGCTGGAGCTGACTATTCTGATTGCAACAGGATGATTAAAGGAAGGAAAAAACTCAATCACAACCAACCTGCAGACATAATCCGACAGAAATTCCATATGTGTGCTGGAGATATCCTCTTACAGCCTCTTTGATAGGTGTTCTTTTTTGGGCCATGTGCCATACAAAAGCCTAGTACTGATATGTACTTTGATCTTCCTCTTAAAATCATACTTCAGACTCTGTGTTTTGAGTTTTTCAGATGGCACTTCATTCATAATTCAATTCAAATAGTTCTTCATTATGCATACTGGTACGGACCTCAAAAGCATTTCTAAGTCTGATGGACTGAGGAGATCTGTTATAGTTGAATGTATTGGCACCTGAAATTTTATAGCGACTAGAATGAAAATAAAGCATCAGCGAGCCAAGGGCAGCTTCAAACAAAACATTCATTTTTGATAGCCACCAGACAATTTCATCTTCCCAAGCCTGCATAGCACAGCAATAGTCTCTTACCCTGCTGATACCTAAAACTGCACCTAATTCAGATAAAATGCCTGCGATTTAAAAAATATATATTAGCAGTGGGTATTTTCTATCTTTGAAAGCCACGTTAATTTAAAAAAACATTACTATGACACAGGAAGCAAACCCTTTCACATATAAGATAGTACAAAATTTAACAGAAATTAAAACTTACCGTTATGAATGAATTTCCTTGCATACAAAGTCTAATGTATTCCTTTTATCTCTCCGTTTGCATTAAGCAGTGGATCCGTGATGCAAAACAGCCTGTGTGATAAAGAGTAGAGTACATATATTTATATAAATACATATCCTTTTTTTCACAGCAAGAGAGAAAACTGCCTTGCTTCCAGCAACAATCCCGTTATACTTGCCACTGATCTGCTACAGCCTGCCAAAGGCACACAATCCAGAGCAGGGAACCGCGGATAGCTCCTTTTATTTCCCCCTCCTCTTTTCCACAGTGGTTAGTGGTGCATCATTCACCCGATCAGCTGTCACATTGACATGGTGCTGCCTGCTCAGCGGTCATTAATAACTGAACACCCCCCACTCCCCAGAGAGGAGCCAATAGCTTCGGAGTGCTGAGGTACAGTGCTTGCAGCTGCCTGCATCCGGTTGGCTGAGCTGGCCTGTCTGTTAGATGACACTATTCCTGAAGGACTAAGAAAAAAAAAGAAAAAGGGAAAAAGAAGGAACAAATATATGTTCCTATTAGTGCTGGCATCCTTGTTACAGACTCTGAGGGTTTTCTAAAGACAATATTGGGCAAATGGGTCTTCTAGAGGGGAATTAAGGTTATTGTTCCTTTGAAAAGCACAGTACATCTTTTTCACTCACTCTGATGTCAGCTGCAACCTGTATTCCCCTTCCTGTAAACTCTTGTTTAAATGAATAGCTAAGTTTCATCCTTTAAATCTGTATTGTTTGCAGAAGAACATAAACATTAGTGACTTCAGAATTGCTACAGAGGATGTATAGCCTTTTTTTTAAATGCAGGACTACTGACAGCTGTTTTTACCTTTGAACATAGCCTTCGCTAACCTGTTTTGCTTTTTATCATGCACCTGAAGAACAATAAAAAATATCAGTGTTTTTGGTCACTGATATTCCACACAAAGAATCTGTTCCACAGGTATTGCTTTGAAAAGATGATCACAGTGAAAGATCTGTCTGGATGCTCCAGATGCAGAGAAATTTTCAGACTTTGAAATGCATTTTAAACTCCAGGAGGTGGCCTAAACACAGACTCAAAGTTGTCTCAGATCAGGCTGTCTGAATTTGGAATTTTGATGAGAGTGGTTGTTAAATAAATGAATATAGCCGTCTTTTTTGGTCTAAGCTAAGACACTGTGGGGTATGGGAGCCCAAATATTATACAAAGGAAGACTGAACACCCATTGAGAAAATGTTTGTCCATGGCAGGAGGTATACCATACAGTTGGTCCAAGGCACAGGAAATACATGTGAAAGTAACCGACATACATTTTTTGTACTGTCCAAAAAGAGAAACATTGAAACAGGACTTTTTTTATTTAATGCACTGCATTTTTTAGGTGAAGAGCAGCAAAAATACACAAAACCTCACCACCACCAGACAAACACACAGATATATATAAATCATCCAGAGAAAAACATACAGTATATAGCACTTATGCTACTGTGCTATACAAATGACTGCTACTTTTTTGTTATACACTTGTCATTGACTGATAATAGTCAGACATACTGGGTTATGTGGAATACTACCATTCCAAGTAGAATAGGAATCAAATAAATCTGTTTTTTATGCTACCTGCAAAGATTGGACTTTATTTCTTTATTTTCCCATGCTCTTCATTTCACTCTGCAATTTTGAGAAATGTAAGGAAGGTGTTTAATGGTTTCCATGACATTTTTGCAGTCCCCTTGGAAGCAGCAAAGCATCAGGGGGCTGTAGAATTTATTAACTAAATTTCAGTTATAAATGGTTTACCAGAAACATAAAGGAAATTGTCTTTCTGTTCTCAGGGGAACAATCATAACCAATACATTGCTGTTATGGAACAACTGCAGTATGTATATGTAAACCAAGACCAAAACTTCCTTAATTAACTAATGGCTCATGTAGCAAAAATAAACAGAGGGTAAAGTTTGCAATAAACTTATTAATATTAAATATTTTACTTGGCAAGATACACGAACAATTTAATCTGATTTTGTAATTTTTCAAAACTTTGTGTTCTGTACTGTAATTGTAAATGATTCAAAGCTTTTAGTCACTCGGTCATCATGAAAAGACCATCGGCTAAAGATGGCCATTTTTGGATGCGATCTTGTGACATCTAGCACAGATGCAACCAATTGAATTACACATCATCATAGAAAAAATGTTAATGTTTAATAAAGTAAATTAGCAACACCAACAGAGGACTGTTATGTACATGGAACTACAGTAGGTGGATAATAATAGGTTTTATATAAAAATAAGATAATATTATGTAATAAGACAGTAATGAGCTTTTTCTTTCTTTCTGTAGTTTGTTTAGTCACTGACAGCACTGCAAGGCCATGTTCATTCCTTTTTTAGTATAAAATCCAAGTGTAATAAATTTGATCCTTTCAAAAGAAAACTTTGGACATCTGAGACAACCTATCCAGCCATGTTGTTGAGGCCAATACCATTAAGCTGTTGTGTTGTTAAACTGAGCTGGTTTGGAATTATGGATGAGTTTAGTGTGTTCCAGAACAGTGTCTTTAGACGGTACAGCATATTATTTAATTTATTCCATTGTAAACTCTACTTATTCATATCATACATGCTTTTAATTATTTTAATGTAATGGATAAATATGAAATGAAATGCATTGTAGTACATATGGTGTAGTACACTATTACTGGATGTCTAGCATACAATAGTCATACCTATCACTATCATATAATGAAGATACAGCGATGCATACTGTAATGTATGTTTTGGTCATGGGAAGGACATATCACATGAAAAACATGTAGAAATCAAAGCATTGGTGTGTGTCACAGGAACCAGTTCTGACTCCCATGAAGTGCGTTGTTAAAGACCCTATTTGGGACGGTATAATCCAGGAAATACTGGATAAGGACATCAGAGGAAGGTACAGCAGGGTTAGGACACGTTGATAGACATGGGGCGATGACTGTAATGATCCGGTGCCAGGAGGAAAGGCAGAACCAACCACGTCTAGGGATGTCCAAAATGGGAAGTCAGGGCACAGTCCGTAACCCAAAGGCCGGGAGATCCATCCAAGACGAAGACACTTAAAATCACCGGGAAGGGGAACCGAGATCAGGAACACAAAGAACTTAAAGTATAATGGAACCAGGCGCTCCGAGCCCCGGACCCAGATGGTCAGATTGCCGGGGAATAAGGCCTGCCATCGGGCTACCCGCGAATATGGGGAATAGGCAAGCCTTGTGGCGTCCATCTTCCAATACTGAGCCAGGGACTGCAGAGATGCTAGGCTTTTAACCAAAATACAAACAAGACACACCAGGAAATAATAAAAACTAATCATAACAGAAAAGGGTAGGAGCACCCTCTAGAGGGGGGATGTGGAATGTAACAATGTGGGCTACTTCTTGTGGCATATACTGTATTTCAGTAGGAGTTCTACAGTATGCAATCCTTGAATGAAGGATCATGACACTTGTACTGTTGGTAATAGGTGTACTGCAGAATTCCCAGACTGTCCAGAAGTGATGAGGAGTATATTAGTGTGTTAGTATTAGTATATTACTCCTCTATATGAAAATAATCCATGATATATATATATACAAACTGCAAGTACAGGTGTTCATTTTACTTCAGATAAACATGGTGCAATGTGTGCTCAGGAGAAGTAACCAAAGGAAAAGCCTGAAAGGCCTGAATTAAGGTTCTCTTCATAGGTTCATTTATCTTAAAACTGTATGGCAATAAACCACAATAGTTTACATTACATTCCTTGAGGACCAGGTGAGGACAACAAAATAAAATTGACCCCAGACGTATAGACAATATTATAGAAGAAATATGTGGAACATTCATAGATTAAAGAAATGCAGAAGTTTCCAAAGAGTTTCCTTGTTGCATTTAATGTGTAAAAATGTGTGCTTGTTTGAGTGAACAACTTGAGAGAGCCTGGCTTGTGGGAAAAAGAACACAGCCATAGACAGGGATAGAGTTTAATTTATTTGAGAGAGGTTGTAAAACATGAGGAAATCCACATGCCTTTCAATGCATTTAATGAGAAAATATGAATAGGCTCCTACTATGACACCTCAGTGAACTGACATGGAAGGAATCTTACTCAAATTCCTCATGGTTCTTGTTTTCTAACATTTTGATCTGTAAATAGCTTGGCTGGCCGGTTTTGTTTGTACCTTTAGGTTATGTATTGTACATATTTGTCCTTTATTCCAAAAGGTCATAGAATTGATTACTAGAGGTATTTTTCACTTCTTATGACCTTTGCCACCTCACCAATGACATTTGAAAGACAGGCATAGTGTACAAATTATGACAGGTTCAGTAAAACAATTTATTAAATAATCAATGATGCAGAGACAACACATTTACTGTACATATCACAACTTATTATAGAATACTTTAAGCATGCTACTGTAAGTCAAAAACGATGTCATATAGTATATATTTTAATTCTTTTGTGTAATTTATGTATCCTCTTAACACAATTGCAGCAGATAAAAACTATGCATAGTTAATTTGTTAACCCTAAACTATGAAAAGGTCTTCTTAAGTAAAAAGGAAACATAAGTAAGATGAAAGAAATAAGTAAGAAAACTGACCCTAAACCCAAAATTGGGGAATGCACAAGGAAACTCCACCAAACATGCCTTTTTCACTGTACATATAATCCTGAGATGAACCACAAAGTTCAAGCTCAGTGAGGTGATGAATAGTGTAAACATTATTTGGTGTCACATATACTGTATGTATATAGGATTATTATTATACATAATAATCCTAATAATGATAATAATCAGCCATATGACAGTTTCTCTGACTTCTATACTTAGTTAATATAGCTCTCATTGAAGTACAGGTATAATTGTAGTTCTGTTTTGCTCTTTAATTTTAATGTATAAGATAGCATCTTCCAGTTGACTGTCATCATTAAATTAGAAAGGCAATAACCATTCTACTCTTAAGAGGGCAGTATTCAAAATTACTGTGCATGTAATGTGAGGTTAGAGCATTGATTAAATTCCTCACAAGAGAGGGTAAGAAGTGCTGTGAAGATTTACAAAATGAAAAAAATGGGGAATATGTGAATACCCCCGTCCTATGCATATGAGTTACAGGCACAACACGTTTACAAATCACAGCTTTATTATACCTTGTACAAC